AATGCACACTTTACTGAAATGTGTCTCTTTCTTTCCACAGGAGTACGAGTTTGTGGTCCTGCCAAATGCCTACATGATCCATATGCCCCATGCACCCAGCTTTGACATCACAAAGTTTCGCTCCAATAAGCAGTATCGTGCCTGCCTTAAGACCCTGAAAGAGGAGTTCCAGCAGAACATGTCTCGTCGCTTCGGCTTTGCTGCTCTAAAGTACATGACAGCAGAGAACAACACCTAGTCATCACCCCGGTTTTAAACTTGGCTTTATGAACGACTCAAACACAACATTTGATTACTTGAATAAGGCCCTTTGGAATTTTATAAGATTCAGAACCTGAGACTTTAAAAGACGATATTGATCAGATATGTTATCTTCTACTTGGAGTGGAAGTGATGATCAATAAAGAGTAGACTTCTTTAGTGCTGCATCAGACTGCAGACTAATGGAGCAATGCTGTCTGTCACCAACACTAAAGAGGAAGCTGATGTCCTGTCATGTTTGTAGACTGTAAAATGATATTGAGTGTGTGTTGCTTTTCTTTAGGATGGGCTTAAGGGAAAAATCCAAAACGCAGAGTTAAGGAGGACTGCACAGTTTCACTGAAGCAAACCACAACTCTACCTAAAATAAAACCGTATTAAATATGTTGAAACGGATTCAGTCTGGTTTTAACAGAAAGCAGTATTAGACACTAACTTATGTTTTTCCTGTTAGATGGGGGGGGTTACCTTAAGATTGGTGTATGAACTAACCTGATACAGGAAACAAAGAAAAGGTTTATGATTTAAAGCCTGTTTGCAAAGCTTATGAAGTTCACAAAAATTACTTTTTTTAATGTTTAAGCTTAATTGACCTAGAAGGAAATCCAGCACCATGTCTTTGTTTTGTTTTTGTTGTTTTTTCTGTTATGAACAATCATTGAAAGGTGTTAACAGCTGGAGGTCCTGCAGTTTTTATTTATTTATTTATTTTTTTTGCTGAGCCACACGGGCTTCTGCTTTTTTACAGGGAGAAGTAAAAACGGCAAAACAGTTTTACAATATACAGCTTTTAAGTTATATTTTCACTGAGCCATAAAATAACTACTGGATGGAGAACAGCAGCAGTATACTTTCCTTATTTTCCTTTGGGCCTCAGTTTGTGAGACTAAAGAATTTCTAGGATTAATATCAAGAAAAAAGCTAGTAATAGCAACTCTCTAAGAGTTGAACTGGTTTTAATTTATCAGCACATAAGTTGATTGGTGGGAATATCAGATTGGTTACTTGTTTACATTGTATTTAGTTTTAGTTAGAAGTAATTGACACAAATTACTGAAACTTGGTTCACAGCAAACATCTGGTCCTGGAAGAACTTTCCTTGTTTCTAATATTTGACTTTTATCTGAATCAGCTTGTTTTATGTCAGGAAGCAGAAAAACACCCTCAGCTTTAAACCTAAATAAAAGACCTATTGTGGCTCCAGGGGTCCGTTTCACAAGGCAGGTTTAACAAACTCTGATTCAGATCAGCCAATCCTAATTGATCTAGCCTAAAGTCGGAAACTGCATTTTCAGCTTCACAGCGGCTGCTATGAATTAGTTCAAGCAACTCTAAGTAGGTCCGCTCAGAGTTTAACACGTGTGTAACAAGTTTGAAAAGCCATTATCAGTGGAGCATCGATTCAATGAGTCACCATGTCAACAGGAAGTGCCTATTTCACCATACTGTAACCAGAGAATAATTAAAAAATTTAAATGGAGAATACATTTAAAAGACAGAGAAACAGCGCTACAGCTGCAAAGGAGAGGAAGATGGAAAATTAGTAGATTGTTTCTCAAGTTAATGTATAAATTGAAGTCTGCTGTTTTTGTATTTATTAAAAGCTCTCTGTTGTTCCATTTAAAATTTCTCCTGATCAAAATCACATTCCTAGACTGAACTAAAAAATGTATTTTCTAAATTACAATTTATTTATTTTTTAGAAGAAACTGAATTTAGAAGGTAAATATATGTGTGTGTGTGTGTGTATATATATATATATATATATATATATATATATATATATATATATATATATATATATATATATATATATGTACTAGTAAGATTTAGGTTTTATAAATCTAGAAATATTTTCACATTTTAAGTGGTTGTTCTGACGTTTTGTCAGCTTCACTGAAAATGTATTTATATTTGAAATGCATTTCTTCATAGTCAAAATGATACAAATGATGACCAGTAATATTAGCAGATCTGAAATTAATTCATATACATCCAGAACGTTTTTTCTAAATGAGGAGAATTTCATATAGTTTGAAATGAAAATTCGTCAAAGAAATTTTTTTTTTCTCATATCAGGAATACATACTCAGTAAAACTAGTATATATCAAAATGGCGTGCAAAAAAGTGGTTACATTGAAAATATTACAGGATTATTTCTGGAATGGTAGTTGATTAATGTATGTATTTAAGTTAAATCATCCGGCAGCAGGTGAAAATGAAGTCTAGAAACGCTCTAATAGATGGAACCTCATCGTAACATAGGGTTCTTCTTCAGTGTGATTCTGTCTTCTGTCACACAATAAATACCAAGTGTCTGCTTGCAGCCTCTTCGGATGTTATCATCCCAATAAATGGCTGTTATTAGAGGTTATCAGTCCCATAGAATGGCTTCAGATTGTGGCAGTAGACTCCATACTCCCCATAGTTAATCTAGGTATGTGTAATCTAAGAATGATTTTATTAGTTATTCATGTGCTGTAAAAATAAATAAAAATTGCTCACATTAAACAAATGACACGTAAATCTCATATATAATCTAATCTCCCTATAAATATACCCTGATTCAAATCTGCAATGTTCATTTTTTTTTAAAACAAACTGACCTAGTTAATGATTTTTACTTCTTTATGCACAAAACTAAAAATCAAACTAAATCAGGAAATGAAACATTGTTGGCTGTAAGCAGATGGAGACGTCCTCTGTCTCCATAAGAAGAAAACCTGCTGCTGACCAGGTCAGCTCTGAGGAGGATGTTACTATGGCAACAGAATCAGAGGTTGAGGAAACTCTCTTTGTGAAACGGAAAAGTCAGAGTTTCCCTGTTTTCAGGTTTAGAAAACTCAAGAGTTTTTTAGTAAACCTGCTCTGTGAACTTGACCTCAGGTGGAACCTATAAAACCAGTGCTGCAGTGAAACTGGGACTGATTTTCTTTGGTTATTGCAGTTCTCTTTATTGTGCGACTGCAGTCTCTCCTAAAAACTAAATACAAAAGTACCTGTTTTTCTTTCAAAGTATATTCTGGAGAGATGTGTGAGTGGTTGCTGTCTGATTCTTAGTATGTCTGCGTCTTTCTATGTTCTGTTGCTTTGCAGAACTGATGGAGTCTGTGTCATGGAACTTGAACTGGAGCTCAGCTGATATCTGAATAAAAGCAAAGAGTCAAACACCCGGCTGCTTTTCTCTTCAATCACTTCCCTCCTTGGTTCACCATCTGAACCTACCAAAGCAAGGGATCCTGGATAGCCCTTAAATGATTGTTTCTGTTGAATTTCCAAGGGTCTCACATTCAAAACATATTTTACTGATTTTATTAAATGAGTTAATTGTTTTCATATGTTTCAGGTTACATTTGAAGTGCTAGATATTCTGGTAAGACTTTCTGAAATTAGACCTAGATGTCATAGTATTTCTGAAGAACTTTCAGTTTTGAATGGATTTTGGCTCCACCCAGTGGACAAAAGCTGTATTATTTTGCCTGAAGGAAAACAGCATTTCCCATGAGGACCAGTGCATTGTCCTGGTCACCTTCAGTTTGATTGAACTACTTTTCTTTTTCCAGTGAATGTGAAAGATTAGGGAATAAATTTAATTGTGGTGAAACTATGTCATATCGTTTAACTTTGGTTTTGTACCGTATTCCTGTATTAAATGTAAAAAGTAAGTTTTACTTTAACTGCTTTCTAGGTAAATGTTTTTACGTAATCTCAGTGTAACTGTGCATAAATACATTCAAGCTGCATCTCTTGAACCATTATTCTTTATTTATTATTATTGCATTTGAGCTTCTGTCTTTGAGCTGGTCAGCCTATCTAAATTGAAAAGGAAAATTAAGAGTCAAGTGGAAGTTAAACCTAAATTAGAACAACAGAGCAGCTACCGGGTGTTTAGATACAGTTTATAGAAGCTCATGAACCCTTTTTTCAAAACCAGACATTAAAGTCATACAACATTTGTTTTGTAGCCAGTAAGTTTGTTCATTGAATCTGACTGGAAGTGCAGCTGACTTCCTGATTCATTTGGTGACTTTGTCAGATGAAGAGTACTTTAGGCTAAGACCTGAGAAACCTTCAGAACACCCATTCAGGTTTGGTCCTTCAAACTTTGCAGATGACTGAACGTGCAGCATAATAAGTCTCAGGTTTTTCCAGGCAGGCAAAGTGCTGCATGACTCAGGTCCAGTTCCTAAACTTTAAATGTATTAAGTCAATCATATGTTGCTATTATAACATAAATCAATGAAGATGGTTGTAGATTTCAGTAGAAACAAGAAAAAGTCAAATTCTAGTACCATCATGGGAGAAGTGGGGGATTATAAATACCTTGGTTGTGGAATGGAAACTAAATCTATGCAGAACGAACAGAGCAGAATGAAGATGCTGCAGATCTTCTACCAGTCTGTCGCGGAGAAACATTTCCTCAGTTTGTGAGATGAAAGAATTGCTGTGATGCTGAATCTACAACCTGTCTGCTCTCAATATGCTTCACAAATCACACCCAAACAGTCATCACTAATCTACTGCTGAAACAGTGAAACCCAAAGTAAGTCACTAAACCAGTACATTAATGGGAGGAATGGGGAAACATTAGGACCACCTATAGCAGAGAGATTATTCCTCTGTACAGGTCATCATCTCCTGCTCCTTCTAAGGTGATCTTTATATTAATATGAAGAAAAAAGGTAGTAATAGCAACTCTCTCAGAGCTGAACTGGCTTTTATTTTTTGCTTTATGACCATCAGCCAATAAGTTGATTGGTGGGAAGATCAGATTGGTTACTTGTTTATGTTGTCTTTAGTTTTAGTTAGAAGTAATTGACACAAATTACTGAAACTTGGCTGACAGCAAACATTTGGTCCTGGAAGAACTTTCCTTGTTTCTAATATTTGACTTTTATCTGAATCAGCTTGTTTTATGTCAGGAAGCAGAAAAACACCCTCAGCTTTAAACCTACATATAAGACATCCTGTGGCTCCAGGGGTCCGTTTCATGAAGCAGGTTTAACAAACTGATTCAAATCTAAACTTTAGATGATTTTTATATTTATAAAAAGAAAGAAAGGTAGGAAGTTCAACTCTCTTAGAGTTTTATGACCATCAGCCAATAAGTGCTGTGGAGAGTGTGATCTCTTCTGCAATCATTTGTGGGGAAATAGCATCAAAGAAGATGGATGCTTTTTTATGAACTCATCAGTAGAGGATTTCACAAGCAAGAATTCTCTATAAGAACACAAACATTATTAGCATCTTCTGTCAGACTGCTGTTCAACAACAGCATCTTCTGTCAGACGCTCCTCTAAAGGAAGTCCACTGCAGCAGACCATTCTGCTGACAACCATCTTCAACAACTGAGGAAAATCTTCAGCGCCATCAAGTTTATTTTTAAAAGAAACATTTACATGTAAATAACTGAGATTATTGTTGCTAATTTCCATCTCTAGTCAGATTAGCAGGTTAACACAATAATATATTTAGAAAATGAAACAAAAAGCACCATAGAATAAAAAATAGCTTTAAGATTGTGTTGAGCCATTGTGTCATCAGAATTGTATTCCAATTATAAAAAGCAGTTTTAACAATTTTCCTAGTGGAATCGAACATTCACAGAGAGAACCTGGCCTTGTTCGCTGACTGCTCTTCTTTTGAATAAATGTGTTATAAAAGAAAAAAAAAAAAAAACTTTTTGTACACACAGAGGCAATACCAAACAAATTTTCGTCCAGTACAGCTCTGAAGACATTTTCATTTCTTAAAGTGCAGCAATGATAAAATATAAACATAGTGATCAAATGTAAACATGGTGATCAGCAGCGAGGCACTGCCATTTTATAAGCTGAGACAGAATCTTGATATTTTACAATGTTAGCCTAACTAAGTCATTCATGTTTAAAGTATTTGGTAATGATACTTTCTTTATCCACCATCAGAAAGAATGGGTTTTATCACTGTTTAGCAAGCCAGTGAGCAACTTATCATGTGAGAGGTAATCAAGGCATTAAAGTATAGCTTGGCACTTTCTGAAATTACTTTATTTATTTCCATCCATCCATCCATCCATCATCCATCCATCCATTTTCTGTCACACTTTATCCCAGCTGGGGTGGTGAGGGGTGCAGGTGTCTATCTCCAGCTGTCTATGGGTAAGAGGCGGGGTCCACCCTGGACAGGTCTCCAGTCCATCGCAGGGCAACACAGAGACAAACAAGCATCCACACTCACACCTAAGGAGAATTTAGAGAAGCCAATTAATCCAACAGTCATCCTTTTGGACAGTGGGAGGAAGCCGGAGTACCCGGAGAGAACCCACACATGCTCAGGGAGAACATCCTAACTCCATGCAGAAAGACCCTGGGCCGTGTTGGGTAATATTGCCACAATGGAGCCAAATCAATTTGATGAACCACATCAAACCCTCCCCCTCCTTTTTCACAAACAGAAGAAAAAAGACTGGCGTTCTGGAAAGTTCTGGTACCTACATGGACATGCAGTGTGTGTGTTTTTTTTTTAAAGCTAATGTGTCTAACGGACCTAGTGAATGATTTTTTTTTTAACGCACAAAACTAGAACAAAAAAAAAAGACTAAATCATAAAATGTGATTGGCTGTGAGGAGACAGAGACAGAGGACACTCTGAATTTACTGAAGAAAACCTGCTGCTGACCAGGTTAGCTCTGGGAGAATGTTACCA